ATGAAGGACTATTGGCGAATTTAATTCAATTATAAAAACTAAAATAAGAATCCGTTATTAACAGTAGGTTTCAAAAACAATGCTATGTTAATTATAAGTGTCTGTCTTGGGCACCTCGGATCAATTACGACTGAAAAGTGAGTTTGATCCTCACTAGGCGGCCTATTCTTTCGGACCTTGAGCCACATCTAAGCTTCGCTTAAGGAATAGCTGTAAGAGTCTATCTTTAGTGGTTGCATATGTTTAAGTAGATATCCCCATTTCTTTTTAACAGTGTAACTGAAGACTGCTTGTTTGGGTATTCGAGAGATTAAATAAAGAAAATATGACTCTCAGTAGGAATCGAAACAATGTTTCCTTACATTGTACACACGAAAGGAAAAAAAGAATTACGCTTAGCATTTTGGAATAAACGCTTGAAAGCCAACTGACGTAGATTTGAGTATTGCTTTCAAATTACCTCTTTCATTTAGGGCAACGAGTTTTTTTTTCGTTCTTGATTCAATTTAGTTAAACACGGCATCAAACGGATGAGTAATTACAACCTGCTTCTAATATTTTCCAGCCTGACGTGCTTAATTATTTCGTAATTATTTCTTCTTCTTCTGTCAATGTATATGAATTTATATATTTATGTATTCCGGGTGTACAGAGGTTCAAATGCAGGTTATCCAGTGGGTGATGAAATGTTTTCGACCCTGCCAAGAACTCCTTTCTTTCAAAATACGGATTTTTGGTCAGGTTTTTAATATAGAGACCGGGGCGTGGATATACCAGCTACTCTGATTTGTCTACGATATATATATATATAAACAATATGTTCCCAAGAATAAAATGTCTTCACTTTTTGACTTCCTATCACTTTTTTTTCTTTCTCATATCCATGTATTTAATTTCATTTAATATTTCATTTAAACCGTTAATAGTCCTTGTAAGTTAATAAACTCTATTATTTAACCATTAAATGTCTGCAAATCAATTAGCACAGCATTTAATTAGTGAGTACATTTTGAGGCTATATATATATATATATATATATATATATATATATATATATATATATATATATATATATATATATATATAAGTAAGAAACGCGTTAGTAAAGAAAAAAAATTTCCTTTTAGTCTTTAAACATATTGACTTTTCACAGATATATTTTATTTATATCCGATTTTTTTTATATATAAATATATATATATATATATATATATATATATATTTCTAAAGAATTAGTGAATTTATTTTTAATCTGTCATTTTTGCTGTTTCAGATGCTTTTATAATGGGCACTTCTTATTTGAAATAGACGTCCAATTTGTATCTATTATTAAAGCGTCTATCGGCCTGCGCCTTCTAAGAAAATTAGATTTCTTGTAAATGAGAAATCTCAATAATGAAAACACGTTCACCAGAAGGAATCGAACCTGCGTCTACCTTTATAAGAGAAACCAAGGTTTGAGTGCCTTACTGCTCGGCTACGAAGAGTGGCTTAGTACAGTGCTTTAACACTCGCTACAGAGAGTATATGAAAAGCACTTTATGATAAATAATGATTATTTACCATCGCCTGAGGAAGCACAACTCTAGTGCTGAAACATGAAAGCTATTGTATAGCGATTTTTAACATGTTTTTGTTTTAATCTTATGTAATAAATAATATTAAGCTCTATATTAAATTCTACAATGGAATTATACCATTTTTTTTTTATCCCATATATATATATATATATATATATATATATATATATATATATAGGGAAAAGGCTATAGTTGTTCCAAAGAGAAAAAACCGCAAACGTTTTTGGCTATGTGGATTTGTTTTAGCATATATATTTTATTCTTCATATTTCTGCTACACGTGTTTCTGGCCTCGGAACATTCTGCAGGCAAATAAAGGGAATAATTTTTTAAAAGAAATAAATTTTTCTTATGATCTTTTAATACCCCATTGTTCGTTTTCTGTATTTGTTAGTGACCCTTGAATTCCTTTCTGGACTGTTGGGAAAAGTGAATTTCCGCATAAGTGTTAATAAAACCATTAGGTTTGGTATGAAAAGTGGTGATGATAGACGTGTTGAGGAGAGATGTCTTCCTATCCATGTGTGCGTGCGTCTTCTCCTTAGCCTGCATCTATATATTCCTTCCACATATATACATACTGTCTTACAATAAGAAATCAGCATATACATATATGTATATACTCATATACATATAAGAATGTCACGAGACCGGAAACACGTGTAGCAGAAATATGAAGAATAAAATATAATATATATACTAAAAACAAATTCACATTATAACCAAAAACGTTTGTGGTTTTTCTCTTTAATATATATATATATATATATATATATATATATATATATATATATATATATATATATAACACTACATTATCCCTCACCTATAGTACGACCCGGACATTCATTCACAACGCAATTATCAGGTGCTAAGTATAGACTGACCGTTACGCAATTATTTTGAAAAAATATATATCTGGTTATCGCAATGTTGGGGCAGTTATGTATTATACACGAATTATAGTTTTACTTTAATTTTTTAAAATTATATTTTAACATTTAAATAAAATGGGTTTTATATATATATATATATATATATATATATATATATATATATATATATATATATATATATGTATGTGTGTGTATCAGAAAATATATATGTATAAGATAACGATACATATTTTATATTTCCAGAACAGAAATTTTAAGACAAAATAGAAAAAAAAAAAAATATATATATATATATATATATATATATATTCCTTCCCCAGGCCGATCAAGAAATCATTGACAATGACAAATCGACTAGGAGAAAATGCGAAAACGGGTTGCATGGTCGGAATAAGAAAGGTTGTAACCACTTGGCGATGGTTTCTGCTATCTTCTCTAAACTAGATCCGCATAAGTGATGCGGATTTTACTCTATCCCTGAAAGTGTCTTGAAGAAATGTGCTCCCAAACTGACTTCTCTCCAAACTCTACAATAAAGAAAAAAACAAAAAAAAAACTTGCTGGTTCTATCTATCCGACTCGAAAGAGTAGATGTCTGAATTCATCAACTGTTTTTGCAGAAAGGGCTCGTGATAAACAACGCTCTTCCAATTCCACTTCTTTGGATGCAGATCATCTTTTTAAAATTTTAACATCATCATTTCGCTTTTTCACACTACATTGTTGTAAACAATATATTTTTTATCGTTTGGGATTGATTTGTTTTTTACGACTTATCAACCCTTTGTGTGTCAACATATTTTGAATTGTAACAGCAATTCTTTTTTTACGAAAGGATATTGCATTAACAATAGTTTTTAAACGACAATAGCTTTATTTTTCCAAATGCGGTTCCTACTATTTAACCTATAGTTAGGGGGGAATGGATTCATGCTTTCCTAAAAGTATTTATTGCTTAAGTGTATGCGACGACCCTGGCTGGAGTACGAACTCAGGTGTCCACTGTCACTTTTACCATTAGCTCCATTACCTCACCCACACATCCTATAACCTTGGGTTCTTCATTTCAAAACTGAAAATCGAAAATAAGGCCCATTAAATTTTTCCGTTAAATAACCCAGACATTCGTAGCAATTCGCGTGTTACTGTGTTTTTAAATGTTCATATGGGATATGTGGAGTATTTTTGCAATATCCCGTGTTTGGTCATCCAATCGTTCTTATTCTTCATGATGACAAATTATCACTTTTGAAACTACATCTTCATCTACGGTACCATCTCCATAAACGGCAGAGCTTTCTGAAAGTTAAAGAGCATTAATAAAAAAAAACAAGAAATAAAATTCGAAATCCACACACTAATCTTCTATTTTTTTTTACACAACACAACACAAGGCCCAAGAGCTAGTCAAGGTAGAGGGCTACTGTGCCGATTTATATTAGCGTAGAAAAGAACAAACTTTAAGAGTAAAGAGCTGGAACAGATTTTAAGTGGAAGCGGAAACCCAACCCTAAATAGGAAACAAAACTTCTACTCCCGTTCAAAACACAGGGGAGGGGTGTAAAATGAAATAAATAGTGAATAAAATTTCAGAGTTCAGGCGCAGACGTTGAGAGTATAGTGTTGAAACAGACTTTAGAAGGAAGTGGAAGCGAAATCCTAAACAGGAAACAAGGGATTAACCTCTACTCCTGTTCATAAAACCGGGGAGGTGTGTGAACCGGATGATAGAAAAAAACCGGTCGAAATGTCATTTAAGAATATTTATGTCATGAATTTCACGTGTGAAACGAAACATCGCCAACTATTGAAAAATTCCGCAAACTTTTGCTACAGCTTAATTGATCGTTCTCAAGGACACACGGCCCAGTGAATAAAAACGTTGCCGGGATCCAGTGACTTGACCCAAAGAGTTGTGAGTTCAATACCTGGCTACGACAGTGGTGAACAAAAACTTGGAGAGTTGAGGTAAAGGGAGATAACTGAGACATCCAGAAGAGATATGGCACGTGGAACTAGAACAATCCACCCCGATGGACGAAATAAAGGGTTCATTTCGAAATTTCAATCAGCTGAATAAGGCCGAGGTGTACAACGACCGAAACGTCGTGAATATGACAACAATGATGAGGACAACAGTCTTCCGAATAGTGTAAACTAATAGATTGTTTTCTATATTTGCCGCGATTACTCACCCCAACACCCCCATCTCTCTCTCTCTCTCTCTCTCTCTGATTTAAAACCACTTGCTCTTTTTTGGCTTCAAACGTCCAAGACTTTTTTTTTCTCTTTCTTTGTTTTTATATATATATATATATATATATATATATATATATATATATATATTATAATTATATATATATATATATATATATATATATATATATATATATATATATATATATATATATATATATATTTAACTCGTTCATTTTATTGAATTTCTGTCCCGGTTTAATTTAACAAGTATTTCATTTGTTTTGCTTTCCTTTTGAATCGTACATTTGTACTTTTATTCTGTCAGAGCTTATTCACCTTCGCAATATTTCAAGCATCCCATTCTTATATTTTTCTTTCTTTCATTGCCAATATTCTTTCTTTCATTCTTTTCCAATTTTCTTTCTTCTTTCTTTCTTTCATTTTCAGTCTTCTTTCTTTCTTTTTTCTTTCATTTCCAATCCTCTTTCTTTCTTTTATTTCCAATCTTTTTTCTTTCATTTCCAATCTTTTTTCTTTCATTTCCAATCTTTTTTCTTTCTTTCTTTCTTTCTTTCTTTTCATTCCTATTTCTTTTTTCCTTTCTTTCTTTCATTTGCAATCTTTTTACTTTCATTTCCAATCATTTTTCTTTCATTCCCAATCCCTTTCTTTCTTTCTTTCATTTCCAATCTTTTTTCTTTCTTTCTTTCTATCTTTCTTTCTTTCTTTCTTTCTTTCTTTCTTTTCATTCCTATTTCTTTTTTCCTTTCTTTCTTTCATTTGCAATCTTTTTACTTTCATTTCCAATCATTTTTCTTTCATTTCCAATCCTTTCTTTCTTTCTTTTTTCATTTCCAATCTTTTTTCTTTCTTTCTTTCTTTCTTTCTTTCTTTTCTTTTCTTTTTTTTTTTTCTTTTCATTCCTATTTCTTTTTTTCCTTTTTCTTTCTTTCATTTCCAAACTTTTTTCTTTCTTTCTTTCTTTTCATTCCTATTTCTTTTTTCCTTTCTTTCTTTCATTTCCAATCTTTTTTCTTTCATTTCCAATCCCCTTTTTTCTTTCTTTTCCAATCTTTTTTCTTTCTTTCTTTCTTTCTTTCTTTCTTTTCATTCCTATTTCTTTTTTCCTTTCTTTCTTTCATTTCCAAACTTTTTTCTTTCATTTCCAATCCCCTTTCTTTCTTTCATTTCCAATCTTTTTTCTTTCTTTCTTTCTTTTCATTCTTATTTCTTTTTTCCTTTCTTTCTTTCATTTCCAATCTTTTTTCTTTCATTTCCAATCGACCTTCCTTCTTTCTTTCTTTCTTTCTTTCTTTCTTTCTTTCTTTTTCAATCTTTTTTCTTTCTGCTTTTCTTTTCTTTCTTTCATTTCTCTTTTCTGTTATTTTTTCTGTTCTTCCTCCCTATTCCCAATCACTTAAAATCCATCTAATTCCCCGCGCAGTCCATCAAAGCCTTATTTCGTTGTTTCGTAACCGGCTTAAAGAAGCAAATATTTCCAATAAAGATCTGCTAGATCTCCTGCGTCATTCCTTCCCTTTCACGTCCCCTCCACCCTGGTACCCGCTTTAAACGCCTTTTCTGATATTTTTCTTCCTCCTCCTTCTAGCTTACATTCCTTCACTCTCTTTAAATTCCATTTTCATTATTTTTCTTTCTCTCCCCTATCGCCTAAATCTCCCCAATAACTCACTCTTTAGGCTCCATTCACGCCATGTTTTTTTTCTTAACCTCTAAACAACCCCCTTTTACTCACCTTTGGTTTTACTTTCTTTCTTTCTTCATCCGTTCTCTCCCTCTCTCTCTTTCTCTTGCTCTCTCTCCTCACCCTCTCTCTATCTTATCATCCTACTCCTATTTCTGCCACGCTCCCTTCACTCCTACTTCCTATTCTTTCATTCTCTTTAAATACGTTTTTTAATGATTTTTCTGCCTCTCCTCGACTTCCTGCTATTCCTTCTAACGCTCTCTTCCTATCGTGTTTTCTTTTTTTCCCTTTCCTTTCCCTATTTCTTTCTTTCTTTCCTTTTTATTTTTTTGTTTTTTTGTATCTTCTGACATTCTACTCTACGATGATTTTTTTCCTCTTATTTTCCTGTCTTCTGTTTTTACTTTAGAGTTCAGTCATGTTTTCTGTCTCCTCCTCCCTTAGAATTTATCTTCTGTTTATTTCCTTTGTTCTTTTTCTTTTGTCCTCTTCCCATGAAATTACTCTCTCTCTTCCTCTCTCTCTCCCCCCCTCTCTCTCTCTCTCTCCCTCTCTTACGCCTTTCCGATTTTTTGGTATCTCTTAATACATTTTAGCTTTCTATCTTTCTTTTTATTTCTCATTGATCTTTCATTTTTATGTTCTTTCTTTATTTTTTTATTTCTTTCTGATCTTTCTTTATTTTTTAGTCTATATTTTTTCATTCTTTGTTTCTCTATTTACTTCTTACTGGTCTTTCTTTTTCTAGCTTTATGTTCTTTTTTCTTTCTTTTTAATTTCTTAGTAATCTTCTTTTTTTTTCATTTGTTCTTTTTCTTTCTTTCTTTTTTCTTTCATTACTGCATTCTTTTTATTGATCTTTTTATTAGTTTATGTTCTTTTTCTTTATTTATTTTTTACTGTCCTTTACTTTTTAGTTCATGTTCTTCTTTCTTTCTTCTTTTCTTTCTTTTTTTCTTACTGATCTTTCTTTTTGGTTCTTATTTGTTTCTCTTTCTTTTTTCTTTCATAATGATCTCCCTTTTTAGTTTATGTTCTTTCTTTATTTCTTCTTCTTTTTTTCTTACTGATCTTTCTTTTTGTTTCATTTTCGTTTCTCTTTCTTTTTTCCTTTCTTACTGATCTCTATTTTTTACTTAACATTCTTCTTTCTTTCTTTATTCTTTTCTTTCTTTTTTTTTCTTACTGATCTTTTTTTTTTGATTTGTGTTAGTTTTTCTGTCTTTTTTTTTCTTTCTTACTCATCTCTCTTTTTGAATCTATGCCCTTTCTTTCTTTCTTTTTTCTTTCTTTCTTTCTTACTTTATTGCTTTCTACCTTAGTGATGTTTCTTATTTAGTTTGTCTTCTTTTTCTTTGTTTATTTCTCTCTTTCTTTTTTTATTTCATACGATCTTCCTTTTTTTACTTTATGATTTTTGTCTTTCTTTATTTTTTACTGATTTTTCTTTTTTATTTTATGTTCTTTATTTCTTTATTTCTTATTCAATCATTATTTATTCCATATTAATTCTATTTGTGTGTGTGTTTCGTTTTTTGTTTTTTTTTTCTTTCGTTTTTACTACTTAGCTCCTTTCTTCCTTTCTTTCTATATTCCCTATTCGGGAATTATTTCTTCCTTTGTTATCTTTTTCAAGCTTCTCTTTTTCTTTCTCTTTTTCTTTTTGTTATTCTTTCTATCGTTTTTTTCTTCCTTTTTTCTTCTTTACACATTTCTTTCCTTCTATCTGAGCTACTTCCTTTCCTTTTCATTCATTACTGTACTCTTCTTTTCTTATTTCCTCTATTTCTTTTCCCACAATTCTCTTCGTATCTTCGTTTGTTTAATTTCCTTTTCTTCCCATATTCCAATCCCCATCAATCGTTTTTCTCTCTCTCTCTCTCTCTCTCTCTTTCTCTCTTGTTCTCTTTTTCACTTCCTTCTTTTCTGCCTCTCTAATTCTCGCTCGTTTTACTCATCGATCTCTCCTCCCTTTCCTCTGTTCCATTAATTCACTCTGACCCTGATCTTTGTCATTGACAACGTATTTAAATACAGAGGTACTAGCATAAATCCTTGGATTGGAACTTGATACGGTCAGATCTAATGCTTCGATCTGATCATTTTTCTGAACAATTAAACCTCTTTATTGAATGAATATAGAAAGCGTTGTAAAAATATACGTGATCCGAATGAAATAAAGAAAATATATTTTCTATAAAGGCAAAAACGACGGCAACGACAATTAAGCATTAGCAAATCTAGTTCAGTGGTTCGTGTATATGATTAAAAGAATAAAAGATTAGCATTTTTTATTCTGTGAACTGAATTAGAAATATCTGTCGCTACACATTTATGTGTGGAAATAAACAAAGAAAATTTCAATCCATGCTGTGTTGCATATTATTCGACAATCGGGTGTTTATTCATGACACCATGTTCATTTAAATGCAATGGCTTACTTACATGTTGAGATTTTAAACGAAGAGTTTCTACAGTAAAGAAGGACCCTCCGTTTTAAAATATTATCGCTATACAATGTTTAGATTCTATTTTCACAGTATATCGAACGGTACTTTCCTATCATGGAATTTTTTTTACACTAAAGGATTGTTTTTGAATATCAAACAAAAGAATTTTAAACAAAACACTTATTTTTTGAAATATCAAAAAGTGAATAAGTAATGATATTAATCCTAAAAAATGTTGTTTTTTATCGTTTCACGCCAAATAAGGAAATAATGTCACTAAGACTAATGCCTCTAGTGAAGAAAAGGGCAATAAAACAACATAATTCAAGACACAAGATGGCGATTGAGGTTGCATTTTAATTTTGGAAGATTGTAGGTGACAGGGGAGAAAGAAACCGGAAAAGGGTACATCAATATTTAATTTTAAAAAATGACTGTCTATAATAGGGACGTAACGAAAGAATGTCACCAATTACCTGGGAATAACAGCATAGACCAAAATTTTGCTTGCCTCAAGGTTTATGATTTCTGCAATGTTTCACACAGGTTGTTTTAATCATATAGCCTTGAGATAATTTAAACGAATAGAAATAGATAGTGTTAACAGACGACATTTCTTTTACACAAGCGTTCTCTTTTGACAGAACGGCTTACGATGTTAATATAATAGGGAAATCAATCTGCGATATAGCCAAAATCAACGGATACGTGTATCTCTTCATCCTAATGGTAACAGTAGTGTTAGCTGTTTCCCTACAAGGAAATATTTGGTATTCATTGACCTAGCTGGGAGCACTACAGTCGCTTGGAATTTATATAATCTCGCTTTTAAAACAATTTTTCAGGAAAATAATTTTCTAAACACCCGTAACTATCATTACATTTTCCAGTATTGACGAAGGTCTCCTTCCTAAAATATTGTTTTATTTGAAGTTGTGTGGATCGTTGACATATTGATTATATCATTAGTTTCTCTTCGAGTGACATGTGCTCTCCGTTTTAGTTGTTGCTGCTGTTGAATGTCCTCAAATGATGGGGTTTCTGTTATTTAGTATAATTCTTTGAGATCCTGTCGTGCCGGGCCAAGTGATTCATTCTTCAGGGGCCATTCGTTTGAAATCGGCTTTAACCATCGATATGATGGAGTGGCTGTTGACACGTATGAACGTGTTTGGTGCCATGGAGGCCATCCGTATGACAGTCTCGATCTGACGCTGCTATTTAAGAACATTGCCCTAATTTTCACTTTTAGTTTTGCAGCAATTTGTGGTGTTGGGCGAAACTATAACTGGTGCAATTTCTTTGTCTCCTCTGCTAATTTTTTTATAACTGATCCATACACCGAAATATTTCCATGCTGATGAGCAATATAATTTCGTGGTGTTGGCAAAATATACTAGATTTTTCCATTCCAACTTTTTTTTTCGAAGATTTCCTGTGGCAGTAAAGCAAGAGACCAGAAGAGAGTAAATCATTATTTCTTTTGAAAATGACCTGTCGATTAAAAATGATATACTGAAAGAACGTTGATATTTACCTGGGCATCTCGCCTAGGAGAAATTATTATGGGGTTTATGACTTCTTCTTAAGTGGTTAACACTGGTTGCTCTAATATCATTGTCGTGTACCAAATATAAAGAGAAAAGACACGTGCTTGCTTTTTAACAGTCTCGATGAGTGAGCGCCTTTGGAATAGTGCTGTAAGCTTTGAGATACGTGGGATGTAAATAAAATCTCTCTGCTTGTCTGTCTGTCCCTGTCTGTCTCCCTCTCTCTCTCTACCACTCCCTCCCTCTCTCTCTCTCCTCTCTCTCTCTCTCTCTCTCTCTCTCTCGCTAACGGCTATATCACGTGGAAACGCCGTTTCTCGTACGCTGACCGAAGTACAGCAGCATCGAGCGTATATGGGTGACCGCTTGGGAACAGCAGCTGCTGTAAGCTTTGAGATACGTGGGATGTAAATAAAATCCATTAACTCACATACACCTCTCTCTGCTTGTCTGTCTGTCTCTGTCTCTCTGTCGCTGTCTCTCTCTCTCTCTCTCTGTGTCTCTCTGTGTCTCTCTGTCTCTCTGTCTGTCTCTCTCTCTCTCTCTCTCTCTCTCTCTCTCTCTCTCACTAACGGCTATATCACGTGGAAACGCCGTTTCTCGTACGATCACCGAAGTTAAGCAGCGTCGAGCGTAGATGGGTGACCGCTTGGAAATACCAGCTGCTGTAAGCTTTGAGATACGTGAGGTTTAATAGATAACGGCTTGGAATTGGAAACTGGAGAGCCGTGTTCCAATTCCACTCGAGTTCGTTATATTCCCTTACACGCAGATACCCTTAGGAAAGATATAAATCCACGTTTTCTACCTCCCTCTATGGGTTAATTAGACAGGCTTGTATCAGTAATTAAAAATGACTTGAAAAATCTGATACGCACAGGATAGATTGAGAGAAAGGTGGACAGAAGAAATCGGTGTATAAAATACTTGATGGCCTTAAGCGGATTGATGGTAGAACAGGGTTTGGGAGAAATAACATAAAAAAGCAAAGTTTATTAAGAGTTATAAGGGACAGGAAAATGTGGAGCGCCATGGTCGGGTATGTCCTAAGATGACACGGCACATAGAAGAAGAAGTACTGTGAAGCCATATTTATTGGTTTGATGGAAGAAACGGACAAGCTACATAAATGATGAATAAAAATAAAGTATTAAGTTATCTCCCCTGAAAATAGGACACGGGTTGAGTAAAGGTTTTGTTTCGAAATTTCGAGGAGATTAACGAGTATCATGACACCTGAAGAAAGCTGAACGTACAACGGCCGAAACGTTCTGAACACAACAGTTAATATGCGCAAGCAGATTCGTATAGTAAAGCCTATAATGACAAATTTATATGCTTCTGAAGTCCGCGGTACTGAAGCATCTATTTTAACCCGAAAGAAAGACTTTCCTTTTTTATATGTTTTTCAACATTATCCGACCCACTGTTTAACATTTCTCCTTTTTTTCTTCCTTGTTTATGTTTTATTTATTGATTCGTTTATATATCTATTTATTTATTTTGTTTTCGTTTCTTTTATCTCTCCAGCAAGCAAAAACACTTTCGGTTGAACCATAACTCACTCAAATCGTTACCAGATTACAGCCATACCATCCGCTGACCCTACCTTTGCCATTAGAGCCTCTGCTTTTCGGCTTAGACCGCCTACCTTTTTCTCTTTTTGACTTTTGGTATTGATTTCAGTGTCCATCTGGGCTGGCTCGCTGCCCACAAACCCTAACGACTAGCGCGTAGGTACGATCAGGGCCCGCTACCATCGCCAGCACTGCTGCATTGACCCTAACTATAACTGTCAACCAGCGAATCGTTCGTCTCAACATCCTCTCTGGCGTTATACGACTTTGAAGCGCCTCACCTGTCAAACCAGGGCGCGTGTGTTCAAAGGCCTGGCAATGGAATGGAAGGTTTTCCAAATAAAAGCAACAACAGTTCTACACAACCCTTTACCTCTGAATCTCTCTCCACCCCCTCTAACTCTTCTTTCGCATCGCCCATACCTCATTTCTCTCTCTCTCTCTCTGTCTCTCTCTCTCTCTCTCTCCCCTTCCCTCTCACTCAGCCCTCTCTCTTTGGCCAAATTTCTTTTTCTATTCTTATTCCTGATACGTTTTATTTTTTGGGGGGAGGGTTACTTTCTTTATGATTCCCCATATATATATATATATATATATATATATATATATATATATATGTGTGTGTGTGTGTGTGTGTGTGTGTGTGTGTGTTGGGGTGTGTGTGTGTGTGTGTGTGTGTAACGCGTTTCGTCGTCTAAAAGGACTTCATCAAATGGTCTTATTGGTGGAATTATATATATATATATACATTTGTATAGGCATCAAGCAAATATGAATGTACGAGAGAAAATCATGGAGAATTGTAGTTTAAAAACAGTAAAATCTACCTTGCTAACCGAAATGCTCCTCTATGGCTAAATCGGTAAAGCACGTCGGGCTATATGACGGTTCCCCGTAGGATACAGGTTCGATTCCTCTCGGAGGATGCATATTTTCCATGAAAATTTCTCGGACATTCAGGCCGGTAAATGCCGTTAATACTGTTTATTATAAACAGAACATTTACTTAAATATTTGTATCTATAAAAAAGTATATATATAGTGTGTGTTTCAGAAGTCTATGAATGGTAGTAAGATGAAACTGGTACCCTTTTAAAGCTAAATTCATTACATTTTTTGTAATGCTAATGATTTTTTCATATTTTTTCAGATAAATTAATGGCGTTCACTCAACCAGAAAGGCGTTTTGCGTCCTTGAATTTGCAAAAAATGAATCATGGACACTTGTTCAACGTGCATTTCGCACAAAATTCCGAAATGAGGCACCAGAAAGGAAGTCCATCTTTAGATGACATGGTAAATTCATGAAGGATGGGTGTTTGTGCCCAGCTAAGAGAATGGGACACCCCTCAACTTCAGATGATATGGTTGAGCGAGTTCAAATTGCCTTTGAGTGAAGCTCCCGTAAATCAATCAGAAGAGCCAGTAAGGAACATCAGTTTCCTACAACAACTGTTTGGCATGTCTTAAAAAGCCGACTGCACATGACACCTTACAGGCTACAGTTAACCCAACAATTTGCAGGACACTGATAAACCAGCTCGTTGTGACTTTTACATTGCAATGCAAGTGAATTTGGAATATGACGGATTTGATGTGTGCCGTATGACCAACGGTACTCACAATGAAAATCTTTTTCCATGTAAAACTTGAGATTAAATTCTTTCCGAATATGCCAGGCGCGTTTTTTATATCCTTAATAGTTTTCGAGATATTTAATCTCAAAATGGACCCAAGACTTTTGGAACACCGTCTATATATATTCTGTTGCATTGAAGTAGTTTGTAACCCCGGGTTTCACGCTTTTCCGATCATCAGACAAACTGGTTTATTTTTTCAAAAGTGCATCTATTTATGCTTGTTTGTGCTTGATTATTTGTGTGTAGTGGAGGGAGAAATTTCCTTCTGGGTTTGTTTGGGATGACACTCTCACTTACATAGACACACATGTATGTATGTGTGTCTACAGGTAAGTGTGTATACACCTGTATGCAAGTGTGTCTATGTATGTGAGGGTGTCATACCAAAAAAACACAAAAGAACATTCCACCGCCACCACAGTCAATTAATGAAACAAAATAAGCGTAGATTCTCTTTTGAAAAATAAACCAGTTTCTGATTATTGCAAAAGCGTGAAACCTGGGGTTACAACCTAATTCAATGCAACTGAATATGTTAGCTCTATCATAAATATTGTGCACTTTCGACTAAGTATCGCTCATATAATATACATATATATATATAATCATCCACAGACAGACTGTTTCGTTGTATCACAGCTCATCAGTGTGGCTAGACATCCGGTTGCCTCTAGCTAGGACCGAAACCCGACTGAATTTGTGTCAGTCGGGGATTCTACCACTAAGCCGTTGGCGCACGGCAGGGATGGAGGTGAATTTAAGTGTATTTATTTTAGATAAACACACAATGACTGAGAGAACTCAATTCGATTTACCGAAAGAGTCTTGCATTATTATATATATATATATATATATATATATATATATATATATATATATATATATATATATATATATATATATATATATATAATGGACTCTTCCATCGAGTTTGATGTATGAGGTTCCGACGACTTCGAACTAATTATCTGCATGTCTGTGACGAGCATGACTTTTGACACCGGCTCGACAATTGCACAAAAGACCACAAATTGTACAGGAGTATTGTATTCAAGTGCAGCAGGAACACTGTTAGATATCTTATTTTCCTTTCTTGTTCATGTAGTCGACTTCGATGCTTACTTCTCAGTGCAGCTATGTCGATGTTGTACTTCTTTAGCTTCAATGCGACAAGAGCTGTTTTTTTCTGAATTGTTGTCCTGGAGAGTTCGTACATTTCAAGTACCAAGATGAAGTTGATGTTGTTTCGTAGAGCTTTTCGCAGTAGCCAGATATGTGTGGAACTAATTAGATATAGTAGTCAGAAAATCAACGCAATGATTTGTTACAAGTGGTGAAGGATTGTGTCGGACCATCCAAACATTTTGGATCTGTTGATAAAAAAAGTAACGAGGCAAAAGACTTGCCACGGAAACTCCGAACGACAGTTCTCATGTGTTATTATCGCGGAGTTTAACCTCTCCGGATCACAGTCAATACCAACCAGTACACGCCTCTCGGCAGACACATGCAATATAATGACCGGTTGATGCTTTCATGAGTTTTCCTTCCCATGCGAAGTCTTTTTATCGCAAAGCCAACACTAAAAAGATTGATAACCAAAGCTCAGAGAGACCTATTTCACTCTCATCAAGGGCGGCTAGTCCGTGTCAGTTCTCAACCTGGTGCTTTACATAGCTCCGAGGGATATATATATATTTTACACTGGATGTTGGAGTAAACAGATCGTCATCAATAGGGCAGCAGATCATTATTTAAACATATATTATTAAATATAACAGACATTGCACATATATATATATATATATATATATATATATATATATATATATATATATATATATATATATATATGTCTGAAAATGAGCCGTTCTAATATTCGAACGTTTACTTTAATTTCTGGTGAAAAAAGGAGAAAAATTGTCCAATATTTGGATATTTTTATCCTCAGACATGAAATAAAGATATCGTCCGTCAAAGCTGATATTTTGTTATTTTGACAGAGAAAATTGTTATGCGACGATAACAATGTGAACCGAAAGTTTAAGACAAAAGCTTAGGATTAAATATATATATATATATATATATATATATATATATATATATATATATATATATATATATAAACACTTGAGCGCTTAGCATTGGAGCGGGTAGAATGGAGAGCAATGTGTTTTATGGACTCAGCAATTTTTCAATCTGCTTGTCTGAATCATCTTCAAGAAGCGAGAGCAAGATCTAAAAGGTCAGCCAATCTAAGAGTGATCTCATCTCACAATCCTCACACTTGCTCCATATGTGGCGTCCTTTGTAAATCACTAGCGGGTCTTAAATGCCACTTAAGATTATCGCACAAAGTTTCATAACTGAATCAAGTAATCTGTCAGATCCTCATACGTCGAAACCGACGGGAGAGGCTATTATATATATATATATATATATATATATATATATATATATATATATATATATATATATATATATAAGAATTAATGGATTTATTTTTAATCCACAATTTTTATTATTTCTAAAGTATTATATAGTGGATATTCGTATTTGAAATAGACGCCATATCGTTGAATTAATTTTTAAGTAGAAATTTGTACAGTAAACGTACTCTATAACTTTGTTGATTGGCTAAGGAAACCAGAAGAGCTTTTCATTCTCTTTGGTAGTTTATATCATTCATCAATGTCAACGTAAAAGGTCAGACATATAGTGAGTAAGAAACTAATAAGAGATATCTATGACATTTCCAGCAAAATATATCACGAATCTCTCAATAAAAGATATTTGCCGTCCTTAACTACTATTGTTGCACAAAAGCAAGAGCACATTGCTACTGGACTGAGATAGGAGCAGGAAGTCCAATTGCAAAGTAAAAGTTTTGAGGATGGGAGCACAGTGACAGAACGAATACATCTTACCAAATTCACTTTTAAAAGGGCATTAATCAAAGACAGGCTAACTGCCATTTTCCTAATTGTATTTTTCTGATACAAGACTCCTATCCCACCAATCTGGAACTTTGGAATAAACAAAACAAACAAGATTTTATAACAAAGGGTATACTGAATATGCTAGCATTTCTAATGGCGTATGCACGAAAGACAGAGAAAACATCTTTATTAATTTAAATTTGTCTCCAATTAAAATGTTCTGTAATATTTGGTGTCGCTAATCAGTACTAAGTTGATATAACCGCCATCCTTTCGTTAGTTTTACACGAGCGTTACGCCCTGTCAGTATCTCATAAATAGTGAACTATTCCGTTTTGATCGACGCTAATTGGTTTCAGAGATAGATAGATAGATAGATAGATAGATAGATAGATAGATAGATAGATAGATAGATAGATAGATGTGTTTAACGTTTCCTTCTAAATCCTCATAAATAATGAACTATTCTGTTTTGATCGCGTAAGAAGAGACAAGACATATCAAAGACGCTACTTGATTTCAGTGAGAAATCGAAAGAAGGAAGTGAAGACAGAATATAGAAGTGTTTAACGTCTGTTTTAGTGAAATGGAAAAGTTTTCAATTCGAAATATTTTCATTTGTATCTCCTTAATTCAATATTTTGTTAAAGTCGTTAAGCTCCAATATTTAACGATGCTATTGGGGGATTTCTACGGATATTCTATTATCGTATAACTCCCCGGAGTACTTCGGAAGTGTGCTGGTCAAACTCTCTGCCTCTGGACAGAGAGGATCCACAGACGAGGCTATGTCAAAAGGCAGAATCTGGTCTCAGGAGACAGCTATACGACCCCGTTTTTTTACGGACTCTACGGGGAATTTTGGCCGAACCTACGGGCTCGGATACCCCACAATAAACTCGACCTTGAGCCACATTCGATCGCGTAGAACTCGCCATGAGCTTATTAAACAAGTATCTGAATAATTAAGATTCATTAGAAATTTCAAAT